CTAACAACATATTTTATAACAAAATATGTTTTTATTTTGTTAGTAAAAAAATCATAGTCAAAACTAATATATGAATAGTGAAAAAAAGTCCAACGTCTCAGTTATTTTGGGACGGAAGGAATTGAACTTATCATATCTTATCTGAACTTAGGGCATGTTTTGTTCACCTTATTTTCACTTATTTCAAAGTGAAAATAAAATGAACAGAACAGGCCCTCATTCAAAACATTAAATTCATTGCTTATTCAAGACCTTATTTATGCATAATTAAATTTAAAAAAATGTTGCAACTAAAATGGGACATTTCAAAAGAAATAATATCTATGTAGCAAATAGAATTATACTTGTAATATGGAGTGAACAATAAACTTGACTTGATTGCTTGGCCTATTAGCCTATAGCTCACATTTCCTCCATTTCCCAAAAGATTGCTTCACTATATTTTTTAGAATCAAAGTTTAAAACTTCTAGTATGATACATTGTGTGAAATATTGTTGAATTTGTTTTAATATACGTACTATATTTTGAAAATGTCAACTTTTTAAAATTATACGAGCTAATATTGATATTTATATTTTAAAGCATGTGTTAAAAACTGTGAAAAACCAAATAGAACGATAGGAAAGATTAACATATGCTAGCTAGATTTGAACCAGCCCATAAGGCAATGCAATAAAATATATATAATGCTCAAGTTTTGTTTGGTTTATAATTTGGAGGCCGGTGAACAAGCATAAGAGCAACTAGATTGAGGAACCGATTACATTGGTCGTGCCCATCTTTACCATTATTAAATATAAAGTGGTCAACTATACAATCATGCATATTTTTGAGCAATTGTTCACCCATCAATCCATCATCCATCATCATTTCTCAATTTATTTTTCTATGTTTATCTTGATTGTTTGTTTCTTGTTCAGCTTTCTACGTAATTACAAATGGATCCATCCTTGCTTGTTAACTCAAAATATCAATCACTTTATATTATAAACTAGATCCATTTGTTTCGATACATTGAACAATGTTTCATTATTGAAAAATAAACACCACGTTAATTTTTTTTGTTTTTTTATAGGTTTGTTTCTATTTCTTTGTATTGGGCAAGTTTTAGTCCTATATCTTTATAGTGTCAAATTAAATTCGTGTCAAATGAACTAATGTTCAAGCTATTTCACACAAAAAAAAATTATGAATTGAACTACATGTATTGAATGCTTGAAACTCAAGGGAATATAAGGAATAGTCGTAATATTTTGTTTGTGCATGTCAATTGTGAAAATTCGTCACTTACAAGTTACAACCTTTTTATAGATAAATGTGATGTAATTACAACATAACCTTATAAAATAAAATCTGTTATATTTGACACCTTTTTTCATATTCTTTTTTTTCCGTGTGATTTGAATAAATGAATTTATTGATGATGTTATTGATGCTATCAAATTAATGAGTTACATAATAAAAACACCGACAATAACTTAATTTATTAAGGAGTATAAAATCGACCATCCAAAATTGTCAAAAGATATAAAAGTTGTACACTAGTAATTATTTATATATATTTTTTGAAGATTTTAAATTTCAATCTAATTTTTTTATGTCAATTGACATAATCATGACCATGTAAACTTGTCCGCGCTACTCTAAGCATAAAATAAATGAAAAAGTTCATCGCAAATTAGGAAACGATTCCTTAACATGTAGGGCACTTGTTCTAATTAAATGATTGACATACTCCGTAATGTATGTGACGGATTTATAAATACAATGATTTGCACTCATATCCAACTTCCTGTTCCTTGATTAAATGATTAAACAATATTAATGTATAAAGAAAAGACATTTATAATGATAAACATACTTATATTTATATTAAAATATGCTAATAATGCTAATCACATTTGGTTACCATTTCCTTAAGCTGACGAATATTAGTATATGACCCTATGCCAGCTATTTAATTGGAATGATAGTTGATACAATCGACATTTATTCTTCTCATAAGTAAGCTTTACCGTTCCTTCTACTCTTCACTAGTTGATTTAATTATCATTACTTGAATTGGTAGAAATACAATTTCAAGTTAAATTACTAATTATCCGACAAGCTAGAGATCCTCGTTTGAAATAGAGTTGTATGTAAGCAGTTATATTAAAATATCTATTTGTAGATATTAACTAGAGGAACTAAAGCCCGGTTCTTTTTAGCTGCTCCGCTCTGCTTTGCTCTACTGAGTCTTGCTCTGCTGACGCAATCTGTTTTGTTGAGCCCTGCTCTGCTCTGTTTTGTCCAGAAACTCAAAAGAACAAGGCTTAACTTAGTCGTTGATTATAGTGTTGTGGGTGGTACCTAAAATTTGATTCAGATCAACATCCATACAAAATCTTGGTACAACTTTACCCTAATTAAGAACGTAGTACGAGGGAGGACCAAGGCCCAACTCTCCCCAAGTGAAAGAGAGAAGAAGGATTGAATAACCGAATTTCCAACTAAATTTCTCAAGTAATAATAAATAAGGGTATGTAGATGTACGTACCATATATACTTGGTACAGTACAACATATTGAGAGAGAGTAACAGGTACGTTTAGTTAAACCAAATAGCCAACTAAAAATTAACAAGCTCTTATAATAAAGTCATTTTCGAGTCCCTTAAAATAAATATTGGTAAGTCATATTCAAGTCTTTTCAGAGAGAGAACGACATAAATAAGAATAATGAATAGAAAAAAAACAGTTGTATAAGAGAAATGAGTTTTCCCTTCTGAATACGGAAGCAAGCAAGAGTAGCTTGAGTAATTGTTTTTGTCAATCTTTTAGGCTTCCTGTTTAACTACAATCTCTACCATCTTCCCACGTTAGCCCCACTCTCCTCCTTTTTTATTTTTTTTCAAAAAAAAAAAGGAATCTAGGATTATTTCTTCAATTCCACTTAGTATAAATCTTATTTTTATTTTTAATCACTATTTGATTTTACACAAATTATTATACGTAATATATAGCTAGTCACATGGTGTGACCACTTCACATATAAGGTAATTAATTGAGCAACTGAGGTTATTGTAATGAGCAAATGAAATTACCTGACGCATGAGGTTATTCTCATGAATAATTGAAATTATTCTTTTATTAATTAAAAGACTTAAAACTAAATATATAATAGGGGTTGGTACTCATCGAATGACCAAATTGATCACTTACTTTTTTTATAATTAATTGATATTGTTCATATAATGAATTTAGGTTACTTTAATGAATATATATTAGGATTATTCTTACGAATAATTGTGGTAACTCATAGTTTGAGCTGGTAAAAATTGACACAACACGACAACGCGACACGAACCGAACACGAAAAAAATGGGTTAGTGTCAAGGGTTTTTAACACGTTTAATTAAATAAGTCAACACGACACGACACGTTTAATTAAAAATGTTGGGTTAGTATTGAGATTCTCAACACGAAATTAATACAACCCAACCCGCTTAATATAAAAATCCAATAATTTATGGAATTATTCATAAATATATTGAATACAACCAATACTTTTCAATTCGACACGACGAACCGAACACGAAAAAAGCGGGTTATTGTTAAGGATTTTCGACACGATTAATTAATTGGGTCAACACGACACGACACGTTTATTAAATGAGTCGGGTTAGTGTTGAACTTTCCTAACCTGTTTAATTTCTGACACGAAAACGAACACGATACGACACGACATAATTGTGAGGTCTACTCATAGTATCATGCAAATAAACAAAATTTTCTCTTACAAAGTTTTATTTACTCCGTACTTTGATTACAAAAAAAGTTACTACACTCCCTTTTAAGCGTTTTCTTTCTCGAGTTACGTCTACTGTAAATGATTATTTTACATACTTACCCTTATATATACATACTTCTAAAGTTCTAGTAATGCAACTATTTTCAATTCTCATTTACCTATATATATTTACATAATCCTAAAACAACTATAGAGTATTCTCATTATACCAAAATATTTACCTACTCACAAAACATATATTCTCATTTATCAAGAGATTTACCTACTCCAACAATACAAATATTCTCATTTTACTTATATACGTCGTATATCTTAGTGGAAAAAAAAAAAAAAAGTAACTCAAAACTCCTTTGTTTTTTTAAAAACAAAACAAAACTTTTAGTAACGTATTGAAAGTTAGCCAAAATAAAAAAAAAAAATTGTTAATTATACTCAAATAATAAATTTATTACCTTTGTCTCTATTTAATTTTTTTTTTTTTCGAGGTCAAAGATCATCAACTTTTCTCCATTTATTTTCTCACTACTAAAGAAAAAGATATTATACTCTTCATGTAGATTAGCTAGATTTATTCAATCCTAAAATAAAACTTTTTTCGTTTTTTTTTTTTATAAAAAAAATCTTTTAATTGAACTTGAGTAACCTTTATTTTTCACTTAATTTAATATAATATTTTAATAACGATTTTTAAAATTTGGGTCGAGAGAGAGAGCGCATCCTTGACATGGGATCCATTACTCATTAATAAACATGATAATTGGGAAATGATAGTGGTGTACCAAAAACATTTGCAAACTGTTATTTTGGATAAGCTTCTTAAGTTACGTTCAAGCTTGTGTGGCCCCAAAAACAAACGTCTTAGTCTCTTAGATGATCATTAATGCACGTTTCTGCTTAACCTTTCTTTTGATTACTTCTTAATTATGCTTAATTTATTTAGTCTACTATTTACATATTTATTTATGTAAGAAAATGCGTATACTTCAAAGAGTTTGTAGCTTGCTGTTTTAAGAATTTAACCTAGTGTAAGCAATTGGGTATCTCTGTTGCATTGACCTAGTAGCCCAATATTTGCTAGCCAAAGTCAGCATTTTTTTTTTTTTGAGAAATATGTTGACTGCGGAGTATATGTTGTAAGCTATATAAATTTTTCAATAAATTACTTCGTATTTTTTTTTTTTTTTGACACAAACCCAACACTTAAATATTTATTAAAGCATCAAGTTTGTTAAGTCCTTACAAATAGCTTCTTGAAGTTCAAGAGGGTACTTTTCAAGCCAAACACGACTCTCACTGTAATTGCAACTTAATCTAGCTAATTTATCCGCTACTCCATTGCCCGTCTTTTTAACAAAAGAAAACACTACTCGTCTACATTCTCTAATAATCTTTAGCACATCCATCACCACTTTGCCGAAAGCATTTGGAGTTATGCAACCCTTCTGCAGATGCTGGAATAATTTCATATTGTCCGTTTCAATCATGATCTCCCTGAACCCAGCTTCTATAACTATCCGTAGGCAGTGCCTCATGGCTAATGCTTCCCCTACATCCACTTCAAACGTCCCCTTCAAGCATGAGCAGCATGCTAGCAGCACATCCCCCACTCTGTCTCGCAGCACACCTCCAATTCCCAGCGTTTGTTGATCAACACAGGAGGCATCCGTATTCAGCTTATAGAGCCCTGCATTCGGGGCTTTCCAAATTGATGCTAACTTCTGAATTGGTTGTTCTATTACATCTTTTAGCCTAGCCTCTTCAAACTCCCCAACAAGGTTGGACGCTTTGTGGATGATATCCCCAACATTCTTCCTCCTCCCTTCAAAGACCCATCCATTCCTTCTCAACCAAATCCCCCACGCCAAACACCAGAATAACTCCCACCACTTTGTTTCTTTAACTATTTCCATCATATCATTATACCATTCCACAAGCCCCCTCGTTCCATCAATTTTTAATTCCAATCTCAAGGCAGAAAATCTCCATATCGAGTGAACACTAGAACAGCCTAGCAACATATGCATGACTGTTTCGTCTTCCTCTCCACACATAGGACACTTTTGATCATGACACATACCTCTAGCAGCCAGGTTGCTTCACATAGGAATGTTGTTTCTCATGCATCTCCACGCAAAAAATTTGATTTTTTGTGGAATGTGATACTGCCATATCTTCTTCCATTTAATCTCCTGCCTCCTACTTGATGTTGATGCTGACTCCCTTTCTTCACCCTCAATCATCATATTGTACGCACTTTTGACCATGTAATTACCATCCTTTGAGAAGTGCCATGTCCATCCATCTTCTTCATCAAATACGGGGATTGGGATGCTGCAAATATCTAGGACCTCTCTCTGGGAAAACAGATCCTGCAATATACTCATATCCCAGCTCCATTCCACCCATAACTCATTAACATGTGTTGGAGTATTCTCATTCTCAGGTTTTTGAGTTCTTATCCGAAAATCAGGAATTTTTGCCACCCAAGGATCATCCCATATGTTTATACTACTTCCCCTTCCCACCATCTTCCTTGCCCCCTTCTCAATCACATCCTTCACACTCAGTATAGATCTCCATGTGAAGCTTGAATTCGAGGCACATTGAGCATCCAGAAAGGTCGACTTTGGGAAATATTTTCCCTTTAACACACGAGTCATAAAGGATTGTTCGTTTGTTAGGATCCTCCAAGCCTGCTTCGCTAACATTGCCTTGTTGAATATTTGCATATTCCGGAACCCCATGCCACCACAGTTTTTGGCCCTGTACATTTTGTGCCACGCCACCCAGCAACTTTTTCTTTCCTCCCCACGCTGGCCCCAAAAGAAATTCTTACACATTCTTTCAACCTCCTTTAAAGTACTTTCCGGAATGGAGAAACACTGCATTGCAAACGTAGGGATAGCTTGGGCCACCGCTTTTATAAGAATCTCTCTTCCAGCTTGAGATAGAAATTTTTCCTTCCAACCTTTAAGCTTCTTCTAGACCCGATCCTGAATACTCTGGAAACAATTTTTTTAGACCCTCCAATATACGTTGGAAGCCCTAAATATTTTTCATGTCCATCAATGGCCTTAAATGCCAACTTCATCTGAAGCATATTTTTCTTCACACATTCTAAATTTCGGCTAAAGGACACTTCCGACTTTTCCATATTCAGCATTTGACCCGAAGCCACTTCATAGGTTGATAGGATCTCAAGGACCTTGTCAGTTTCATCTTCATTTTCCCGGACAAACAGCAAGCTATCATCTGCAAAAAACAAGTGAGAGATTGGTTCTACATGCCTCCCAATTTTCACCCCATGAATGATTTTCTTTTTTTCTGCATCTCTTAGAAGTGCGGATAATCCCTCCGCACACATGATAAAAAGGAAAGGGGATAGGGGGTCACCCTGTCGAAGTCCCCTGCTTGACTGAAACTTCTGAGATGGTTGCCCATTTACCAAGACCTCAAAAGAAGCCGATGACACACATTTCATAATATTCATCACAAAAGTGTCCAGAAAACCAAATTTTTCCATCATTTTCCTCAAAAAATCCCATTCTACTCTGTCATACGCTTTACTCATATCAAGCTTCAAGCCTAAATACCTTTTCTTTCCAGTCTTCTTTTTTCTCATATAATGAAAGCACTCATAGGCAACAAGAATATTGTCAGTGATTAATCTGCCCGGGACAAAACCACTTTGAGTTTCACAAATAATTGTAGGTAGTACTTTTTTTAGTCTATTTTCTAGAGTTTTTGCTATTACTCTATACAATACATTGCATAGACTGATAGGCCTATAATCAGCAGGAGACTCGCACACATCTTTTTTCGGAATTAAATCTACATGAGTCTGATTAATATGACCTATATCTCCTACACTATTTAAGATACTCAAGGAATTATTAATCACATCACCGCCAACAATATTCCAGAATTTTTGATAGAAAATTGCTGACATACCATCTGGGCCCGGAGCTTTCGTAGGGTGCATTTGAAAGAGGGCTTCTCAGACTTCCTCTCCCGTAAACGGAGCTATTAACTCCGCATACCGTTCTTCTATGATTTTTTAGTCCACCTTGTCAATGACTGCCTACGCTTCTCGCTGCCCACCCGAAGTGAACAGGTCTTCAAAATGTTTTGCCAACACTTCTGAAATTTGAGATTCATCCTTGTAACAATTTCCAACCGCATCTTTTATCATCCGAATTTCATTTCTAGCTCTTCTCTGGCTCGCCTTTTGATGAATTTTTTTTTGTGTTTTTGTCTCCTTCACGAAGCCAATTTTGCCTGCTGCGCTGTCTCCAGTATAAATCTTCTCTATATTCAAGCTCATCCATTCTGTCATCAAGTGTTCGCATACATATTAGCTATAATGTCATCAGTTTGGTCCATTTTCAGTAGCTCCTCCATTTGGATTCGGCAGTCTTTTAATTCCTTCAAAAAATCACCAAACTTGTTTCGACTCCAGGCACTCAAACTTATGGATGTATGGGCGATTTTTGAGCATATGTCACCTCTTCGACTCCACGCATTTCCCATAATGTCAGCACACATTTCCTCCCGTAGCCACATCTCCTCGAACTTGAATCTTTTTTTGAATTTTTTCTTCTTCGCCTTTCCCACCCCTTTGCTGATACATAACAGTATAGGAACATGATCAGATTTTCGCTTTGAGAGATGTGTTACAAAAGCACCAGATTACAGTTGCCTCCATTCCTTGTTTGCAAGGAAACTATCAAGCCACTCTTGGACATTCTGCTCGCCACCTCTATTATTAGTCCACGTGAATGGGTGTCCTAAGTATCCCAAATCCTCCAGCTCACACACATTAACAACATTCCTCAAAATTTCAGCCTCCATCAAATTGAATTCCCTCCCTCCTTTTTTTTCATCAGATGTGAGCATAAGGTTTAGATCACCCCCACAAATCCACGGACCACTGTGATTGTTGTAAAGGTTTTCCAGAATACGACCCGTTTTATGCTTATTTTCCTCCTCGGGATGTCCATATATTCCTGTAAACCTCCATCTTATATTACTCCCCCACTCCACCCAAGCATCATTATGGTTTAAAGAGAAGGATTTGATCTCAACATCTAGTGTCCTTCCATAACAAAGCGACTCCTCCACTACGCTTCCTACCCTCCCCATCACAGCAAACAACCAACATATTATTGAATTTCATATTTACTTTTATTTTCTCCATCTTATTACTCTTCAACCGCGTTTCAGATAAAAACAACAATTGGGGGTTTTCTAGGAAAACAACATTTTTAAGAGCAGTCACCGCCGAGGTATTCCCCAAACCTCTATAATTCCATGAGAGAACGTAATTCATTGTTCACTGAGAGCCCATGGTGTGGGGCCCGCCACCTTTCTCCTTTTATTTGTCTCATCAATAGTTATATCAACATCCATCTGCATTTCGTCCTCTCCAGCCCCTTCATCTTCCCAGCTTTCTCTTTTGTTTCCTATCAAGCTATTATCCCCTCCCCCTACATTTCTTTCCCTATTCAATATTTTAACCGTCCTTAAGTTCCTACCATCACTTTCCTTTTTTACCCCCTATACCTCAGCATTCCCCTCTGTTAAGTCATTAACCTTCACCTCCTGCACTGCTTTAAAGATAGTTTCCGTCATCAGTAACTCTACTTCTCCCTCCCCTACACTAATCTCCTCCTTTTTTTCCATGTCCCCTTCCTTCTCCTCTCCTGCTTGGCCTTCTTTTTTGTTTACTGTCACTCTCTCTTCCTCTACAGCATCATCACCCTCCCCCCTTCTCAGTCTTATTGTCCGCAACACCACCATCTCTCCCTCACCTTTACGCACCCTCATAACCTTTGCTTCCCTGCTCTGTGCAGGCCACTCTTTAGTAACATTCCCCTTTTTATTCGCTGATGGGAAGATAAGTCTTCTCGCAGCACTTACAGGCCCCAATTTTATCACTTCTGGGTCATTATAGCTTGCTTTTTTTGTTGCATTGCACGTGGACCTTAGTCTATCCACCCAAGCTCTTTCTATCTCTCTTTCCCCTGCCTCAGTCTTACTCCTCTTCTTTGGTGAAGCACGAAGCCATGGCCCGTATTGAAAAACCATCCTTAATTCTTCATCTTTCTCTTACTCTTTCTGGTTACATTCTTTTTCTGTATGGTCAAGCCTACCACAAAAGAAACAGAAATCTGCTAGCCTCTCATACTTTATATCGATCCACCTCGATTTCTTTTGTCCCATTGCAAGGAACAACCCCCTACGTAGGGGTTTATTTATATCCACCAGGATTTTTATTCGCATACACTCGCCCCATCCAATGGGATCCGACTCATCCATCTCCATGAAACCTCCTAGGAACTCTCCTACATCATACATCACAGCCACCAATCTTTTATTAAATGGCACATCCATCAGCCTCACCCACATAGGGGTGTTTTTGAAGGTAATTTCCGAGGGTTGCTCATCCCCCTGCACCTCCTGTAGAAGGAGTAATTTTTCATCGAAAAACCACGGCCTTCCTTCCATAACACGTTCCTTGTCTTCAATACCAAAAAATTGAAAAACAAACAAATTCGTCTCCACAACCCTAACCGCAAATTTCTCCTTTAACCTCCATACATTCGTCAGGGTACGTTTCATTGCTTCTAAATTATAAGGTTTAACAGCCCATAGCTTCCCGACTAGAGTGAGTTGAATTTGTTTTTTTGTATCATCAGTCACCGTTTCTACGTAATCACCACCTAGAACCACTTCTTCCTCATCTGTCAATCGGAGTTTTTTCCAATCATTCAATAACTCTTCATCCATCCTTGACTTTCATAGGATCACCTTCGAAAAAGGTGATGAAAATCACGAAAATTCTCAAAATTTACCTTACTTTACGAAACCCTAAGCAAGGGACTCCTAATATCCGCAACACTTCAAACCCTAAATTCTCAAATTCCAAACAACCTAGTTTTTATTTATTTATTTATTTTATTTATATAAATTTTAGATAAAATATTAATAATTAAGGATGTGTTTATACACCTAATTTAATTTTCACTTATCTGAACTTACCTTATTTTATTTAAATTTATCTAAATTAATTAGACCTTATTAAAATTATTTTAGTTGTAATTTGAGATTAGGTATCACTTATCAAAATTTATTCTTCATAACTTATCTTATTTGAACTTACTAAACTATTTGAAATAAAATAAGTGAAAACAAGGCGAACAAAATAGGTCCTAAGCTTTTTCGCAAGATTGTTTTTCGTCACAAAAATATATATTTAGTACAATAGCACGGTTACATCCTAGTATTCTACTAATATAGATTATTATATAGAGCATGAAATATCTAATTCCAATTTAATCAATCATTACAACTACAAATTTTGAGTTTTCTTTAAATCCCAAATGGCAAATGATATTGTCTCGGGTCTTAGTACCAAGCCCTCCAAAACTTTGATCAACTCAATGAGCCGGCAATTACTTGCATATTACAATAGTGCATGTTGTAAAACCCTTATTCGAAATACTTCCTCCATTATTAGATGACATGTTTGTCAATACATACTTTCTAATACAAATATCCTTAATAATATAGTAGCAAAAATTATAATTATTTGATATTTAACATATAGATTTTGTGACGAATCTAACAAAATATTACATGACTATACTTTTTCTCAACATGAAGTCACAAAACAAAGTCAAAACAAGCTAAGTTTTGTAAATAGTGCACAAAGTCAAATTGTGTCATATGATTTGAAACGAAGGAAGTAGATGATAAGAAATGAATTCATATAGTAGTGTACCCCTTTTATCCGCTTTAGCAGTTTAGCATACCTCAAATAGGAATTTTTTTTTTTTTTTGTTTTTCAGTTGGATGAAGTTGATGAGAGAAAATAATTGATAGAGTCAGCATGTAATGAAGGGCAATCGGCAAAATAAAAAGAGACAAACCAAAAAGAAAACCGAGGCAAACTAGATCGGAGATAGTAATAACTAATACAAGTAAGCTCTTTAGCATATACTATATGTACGTGCTAAAAGGGAGAATACATAATTTAAATTTAAAGAAATGAAAAGAGTTAAAGGAAGGGAAGTCGAACTATGAAAAGCACCAAAAATGTCAACGCACATCGTTATAAACTTTAAACGAAGGGCTATGTTAGTCATTTTCAAAGAGAAGGCGAACCTTTAAATGATTTCTTACAAATTGCTATCTGATCCAAATTAGTGAGACAACAAGATCGTAAGAAATCTTGAAATGGGGCATCACCTTGAATGTGCCCTTTTTTGTCACTTACCCCTTCAATCCGACGTGATTGCCTGTCGTTTTGAAGGTCCCTTACCCTTTCTTTTTCAACTTGAGGCCCCTCATAGTGTTAAATGACATTTTTACCCTTTAATTTTTCTTTTTAAGTATACATGCTCCCAATGTACGAAGTATTCTTCTTTTTCACTAAAATTAATTTAAGGATAAGAAAGGAGGCTTTTCCTAATTAAAGTGTGGGAAAAAAGAATCACCATTACATAGTCAATATCTAAAGAGAAAAGGTCCCTTCTCTTAAAGCCTACTTTCTTGATGCTTCTTAGTCTTCACTCTTCCTTCTCCTCCTAATTAATTTTGTTTTCTTTTTCTTCGTTATTGAGTGTATTATTAATGATACATTTCTCGTATTGTAGCCTCAACGAACAGTTTATTTAGTAATTATAAGCAACAAGATGACTGATATTAGCTATTGTTTCCAAATTTATATGATTCTTATGAAAAAAGGGATAAAGACTAGCTGTTGTTTACATTATGTAAGTTTTAGCAAATGATGAAGATTACATTATGTTACTATTAGGGATTATACATTCTTTATATTCATACATATCCAAACCTTTTGGTTATTAAGGAAATATAATGTGATATATGCATATATTTGTTACATAGAGTAGACACTTTGAGCATTATTTCTATATATATTGGCTATAATAAAGACATTCAATGAGCTAATGAAGATGAGAAGATCCAAAAAAAATATCATGTTAGTGCCATTTGAATGGGACAGACGGCTAGAAATGAATGTATTAGATTTTGTAAACATGTTAAAGCATATGATACTGACAATATAGTATTTAAATTAATTTAAACCTATCTTTTGTTTGAGATGTGCTACTAAATTCTCAAAATTACTCTAAATACTCCAACAACATATCAAGATCATATCCATATATCCAAATACCATACATCTTACACGCAAAGTATAAATAGATTTGTTTTTGGTAGTACGTTATTAAAAAAGCCAAGGTTTAATAAGAGCACAGGGAAAAACACGTGTCTGAAACTCCAAAAAAATCTTGTTCCGCCAAATTTGGAGTAAAGATAAGTTGGAAAAGGTATGATGATTTAACCAAAATCGTGCTTTGATTGGAGTAGGTAAAGAAAACTCAAAAACCTAGATATATAATAACAGCACGAGAAAAAACACGCGTCTGAGACTCCGAAAAAATCTTGCTCCGCCAAATTTGGAGTAAAGATGAGTCCGAAAAAGTATGATAATTTGACCTAAATCCAGCTTGAATTGGAGTAGGTAAAGAAAACTGAAACCCTAAATATACAATAACAACATGAGGAAAAACACTTGTCTGAAACATCGAAAAGATCTTGCTCCGCCAAATTTGGAGTAAAGATAAGTCGGGAAAAGTATGATAATTTGACCAAAATCGAGCTTAGATTGGAGTAGGTAAAGAAAACTTTAAAATCCTTCAATCATGTTAAATACCTTTTCAAAAACAAAAAGAACGCTACACTACATAAACCCAATCAAATTGATGCAACCTCCCCATTAACAGCCTCAAAGTTTATCAAATGATAGTAGCAGATGCACCAACAAAAGCACTGCCAAAAATTATATGTGACCTTTTTATAAGGCATATATTTAGGGAAATATTATTATTCATGTATATTCATGTATTATGTGATACAGAGCTTTTGTATGCTCCAATTATGGGTAATGACATAAGGTGACTTCAGGCTTACAGGGATAGATTAAGAAGCGTGCATTTTTCTTCTGGAACTAAAATACCCCTTTCATTCTTCCAAAACTCTTATACTGTTAAAAGACTAATATACCCTTCCAACCATCAAACAATTTAGGACATAAATAAATTAGAGAATAATGCAATAAGATTTCCGACATATCACTTTCCTTCAACTTGATACGAGGCGTGAAGCAGAGGGAAAAGGGCACAAAGGGTATTTTTAATGGCAGCAAACAAAATTAAATTAAAGGAACCTTTTAACAAAACACTTTTTACAGCTTCATTTACTTTCAACTCCTATCTAAGTGTTTATTCCCTTCATTCCAGCCTGGTGGTTGCGGATTCAATTTACACTTTTGCTATTGTAATAGTGTATTGTGTCCTGTATATTTTTTCTGTTTCATAAATATTATAACAAGATAAAATTACGCATCTCAAAATACATTTTATATGTTAAATATTTATAATTATATAATAGTAAAAATTATAAAAAGTTAATATTGTGAAAGTATTTTATGAGACGAGTCTAACAAGACCCCACATAACTATATTTTACTTTACGTATAAATTATAATTTGTGGTCAAACAAAGATGATGAAAGTGCAAAAGCCCAGTTGTTACAATATTACTAGAACGGAGGAAGTATGTCTTAATACCTATATATATGGTAAATTAGATACACTTTTTTGCCTTGTGGTTGCGGGTTCAATTTACACTTTGCTACTGTAATGTATATGTCTTGATGCCGATGCCTATATATATCGTAAATTAGATACACTTTCTTTATACAGAGTATGTACTACTTTGTAACGCAAATATACTGATTTACAAGTGTTTTTATAACACAAATCTACTTCAAAGTGTCTACCTCGTAGATATTGGACAAAAAAATTTCGTGAGAGTTGAGGTCTAAGCCAAGTCTTAATCCATCCTTGTCCTTGCTATTAAAAATACTAGGGTTACTCCATAATTAGTTAATTAATACTTACCCCGTTGTTTCTAAGTTTGTTTTAAATAGCATGTTACTTTTAGTTATAGACTTATATGAGATCACACCTTTATTCTAACAACCACTGAAATAATGCATTTGGTCCCACCACTTTTTTTTTTCCTCATCAATAACCTTACCTTGAAAGAGCAAAAAATAAGGGACAAAAGAAATAACCGATAAAAGTGACACGAAACTCCCTCTAGTTTTTTTTAAGTGTTACACCTTAATTGGCACAAAAGAAGTGATAGGAGTGTTAACACACCCTCACTTAAATAATAATCCAATGCATTCATCTCTTTCTCCTAAAATTCCGTAAATATTAATCCGAAACACTTGTTTAAAAACGGAAGAGAGTAATATATTAACCGGCAATCATTCAAACAGGTTAAATTCAATTTTTAACCACAACTCCAACCAGATAGAAGTTGTCTGACTGTACACTGTAGAACCTATCAATTCACATACGTTTAATAAGGAGGGGAATTGAGTCTATTGAGATGCAAAATGATCAGTTTCGTCTCAAATGATCCAACAGCTAATAATTAAATAATAATATAAAATTTCCTCGTCAAAGAAATAAACAAAATACTACGTAAATGGGGTTACCAGGAGACTCCAAACACTGCCTAAATAAACAAATCTTTCTGAATTTAAATATAACCATTAAATAATTAAATAAATAAATAAATAAAAGAGTATACTAATATGCAAGTATAATATAGTTCGCGTCAAAGAGAAAAGAGGTTGAGTCTGGTTTACGCCAAACTCTCTTCTTTCTTTCTTTCTCTGGTTTTTTTTATCAAACATCAAACTTCTCCCATTACTATAAAGAAGCCACCCTTTTCCCTCTTCTCTCTCTCCTCAAACCTCAAACACTTCTTTTTTTCTCCTCTTTTTCTGTTTCTCACTCTTCTTTCTTGTTTTCTGATGAAAAAATTATAACAAGATGTACTAAACATGTGTTTCTAGGAACTTGTAACTTTTCAAAACAACCAACAAACCCCTATAAATATTGAGCAAGCAAACTCTTTCTTATTCAGTTTTTGTTTTTTATAACAGTAAATTCAAATTCCTTTGAGTTTACTGTTACAAAAAAAAAAAAAAAAAAAAGACTCAATTTTTGAGGAATGGAAAGGATGAATTTTGTGAAAAATGGGGTGCTGAGATTGCCACCAGGTTTCAGATTTCATCCAACAGATGAAGAGTTGGTTGTACAATACTTGAAAAGGAAGGTTTTTGCTTGTCCTTTGCCTGCTTCCATTATTCCTGAAGTTGATGTTTGCAAGTCTGATCCTTGGGATTTGCCTGGTATAATTTTTCATTTCTTTATACTCATTCATTTCCGCTCCCTGCATTTTGTAAAAATAGACGGGATTTGATCTCAGGTCTTTTCGGTTTTTGAATTTGCAGGCGATAAAGGGCAAGAGAGGTACTTTTTCAGCACAAGGGAAGCTAAGTACCCAAATGGGAACAGATCAAACAGGGCAACTATGTCAGGGTATTGGAAAGCTACTGGCAAAGACAAGGCTGTTGTTGCTGGTGCTAAGAACAACCACCACAACATCAACAACAGCCCACTTATAGTTGGGATGAAGAAAACACTGGTTTTTTACAGGGGAAAACCTCCAAATGGTTCAAGAACTGATTGGATTATGCACGAGTATCGCCTCGTAGACTCGAATCAAACTCAAACCAATCCACAAGCACTGAATTCCCCTCTCAAAAGGGGTCTAGTGCAGGTAAAATTGGATGCAAATTTGTTAAACGAAAGCGTCTATTATCACTCCACTATATTTTATACAATTGTTATTAAGGGTTAATGAAACAGACACACTAAAATATGAAAATGATTATAAAAATCATAGAACCTTAATAAACTAAACTAAGGATATTAATTATAAGCAAATTATTAGTGGGAATCTTTAGAGTTTTGATATTGTCCCCACATTTTGAGCAGACATCATTAAACAAATCTTTCTCCTTTTCCAAGTGATTGACTTTTTTTTTTTTTTTGGGTGTTGCAGAAAACAGGGGAAGCAACAGGAGATTGGGTGTTATGCAGAATTTTCCTGAAGAAAAGGAACAATGCAGCAACCAAGAATGATCAGGAGGAAGAAGAAGGGGTTATTTGTGAGGAAGAGGAAGCCATTGTTAAAAACAAACGGATTGGAAACCCAGTTTTCTATGATTTCTTGGCAAGAGACAGTGGAGGTGTTGCTGCTGCAGCAGACTTGAACCTCCCTGCTCCGTGTTCATCGTCTTCGGGATCGAGTGCAGTCACTGATGATGACGGTCACGACAACGCTAAACACCATCGAATTAATGATATCGATTCATCGGAAGAACGCGATGACAGCAGCAGTAGCTGCAATAGCATCTCATATCTTAGAAGAGAACTTTAACCCCCCCTAAATTAGCAGTTTTTTATTTTAATGATGTATCAAGTTTCAAGTAACAACTAGTACTAGTAAAATAACCAATCTTTTAAGTTCAAAAGTTTCATGTTCTTTTTTAATTTTATTTCAATTAACCAAGTTTTAGAGTTTTTTTAATGTCATGAATGTCCAACAAAGAGAACCAAACTTACAAGAAGAGAAGAAATTAATGGTTAAAAAGATGTATGGATATTATTGGCAATTGGCAAATTTCATAAGTAATGGGCAGTTGTAAGAGAAAAGATGTGGCAATGTCAATTAAATTGAATTGAAATTTGTTGCTTGTAATTTACGACTGTTGTACAGTATTGTCACAACTTTAGAGATGCTTCCAAGTCCATGCAAAAAGGGGAGTGATTCTCAATTCTTACGGCTCTAAAAGATTGAAAGTTTTGGCACGAGTGGAATAGTTTTATGGCTAAAGGGTTTTATAAAAGAATGGAATACATGTGTGTAACAAAGAAACTTTGCTCAAAGTGAATCACTTTTATTTTATAAACTTCTTGTATGCGTGTATGTTTGTGAGTGGTTTTTTTTTTCTTCGCTTTCTCTTGTGAGGAAGCATAACCATCTCCGATGATGAAATTTGAGGGAGTTTTTTTTAGGAGAGCGAAAGTATTTTTTTGCAAAGGATATCAATAAGTTGGCATCTAAACTTAGCAACTCCAAAAAAAAGTTGCTAAGTTTAGATACCCAATTTGAGTCTCATTTGACAAAAAGTGTGGGCTTCTTATAATATTATAATATTTAAGTTTTTTTTTTTAAAAAAACTTACAATATGTATTTGGTGGGCCATAAATTGAAAGTGATATTACTATATAGAGGTGGCCAGTGGGCCGGGTTGGACCCAGCCCACCCTAACTCGCACGGCTGGTGGGTCACGTGGGTCCGACCCGGTTTCAATCCGGCACAGCCCGGCACAGCTCGGATTTAATCCGGGTTGTGTCGTGGGTCCAAAATTTTCGACACAACCCATTTCAACCCAGCTCAGTTTAACCCGTTTGATTCGACCCAAATCGCACAACCCGTTTTGACTCATTTAATTCGACACACCTAGCCCGTGAACCCACCTAACCCGACCCACCTGGCACAACCCAGCCCGCACGGCCCACCCGCACGAATGACCCACCCAACCCGCACGAGCCAACCCACCTAACCCGCACGCATGACCCACCCAACCCGCACGCATGACCCACCCAACCCGCACGGCCGGCACAACCCGCACAACCCGCACGGCCCGCACAGCCCGCACAATTCGCACGACCCGCACGGCCCGCACGGCCGGCACAACCCGCACGGCCCGCACAACCCGCACGGCCCGCACGGCCCGCACAATTCGCACGACCCGCACGGCCCGCACGGCCTAACATCCATTTTAAAAAAAAAAACGGCTAGTTTTTTGTATCTAACGGCTAGTTTTTTGTATCTAATGGCTAGTTTTTTAAGTGTATGATCATCCATTCTATTTTTCCTATAAATACCAATTCCATTTCACTCAAATTTCCACACAAATTCAAGCTTTCTTTCTCTCTTACTTAAAAATTCTTATTGTTCTCAAATTCTCAAGTGTTATATAGAGTTATATTTTTGTTAAAAAAAATCTCCTTAATATTATTATTAGTATTCTTAAGATTCTAAAAAAAAAAAGTTTTTCTCCATATTATAATTAGTAATCATACAAAAAAAAATGAGCTCAAGAGGAGGAATGGGAAGGAGTCAAAGTGGTGGTCGAAGTGGTAGCCAAAGGAGTGGTGGTGCAAATTTTTCGTATGAAATTAATACGGAAAATTTAAACCAATTTGTCAATGAATATGGAGATTATGGTTTAGGAGATAGGCAAAATATTCAAACGTCTCCACCACAACATTTCTCCCACGAGTCCCACCAATCATCAAGTTCAACTATGCCACCTCCATCGCAACCAACATCTCAACCTTCATCTCAAGGTAATTTCTAATTAAATTTTTATTGTTATGAATATTTAAAAAAACTATTATTAATGATTATAAAGTTAGTTTAGTTTCCAATTTTCTATGATTTACAATTAGTTAATTACCATGAAAAATGCGTTTAAATAAGTATAATTAAAATATTTAAAATTTAAAAGCTTATTTTCATGAATAGCATTTAAAAATTAATTTTAATAATTTGATTTATGAAAGGTGGTGGCGGTGAAAGTAGAGGTCGAGCACATTTTTCTTGGGTGTGGAAACATTTTGAACGAGTTGAGGTCACACCCCCGGGATGGCAACCTGGTCAACCAAAGAGGTTCACGTGTACATGCCTAGTTTGCAAGGCGCTAGGTGCAAATGTCAAGTCATATAATTGGAAAACGGGAGATGGAACCGGAACCTTGAGTCGGCATTTGCAAAATAAACACGACTTGTTCGAAAATGGCCCCCGTCCTTCGGGGGGTGGCGTCCAAACACAATTGGGTGGATACATGAACCAACCCGGCGGAGGTACACCTTTCATTTATAATAAAGATAGAATGATTGATGAAATGAGTACTTTAGTTATTGCTAATGAATACCCTTTTAGTTACGGTGAAAATGCAAACGTTGAGCATTTTAATAAAGTTGCATTACAACCTGCATTTACTCGTGTCCCCCGAAATACCCTAAGACGTTATACACAAACTTCTTATTATAAGTATAGGAGTGGTTTGATTGAATTATTTCGTACTTTTGATGGTCGTGTTAGTTTTACAAGTGATACATGGACTTCTAGTTTTGGCGAACCTTTTCTTTGCATTACTGCTCATTGGGTGGATGATGATTGGTTTATTCAAAAACGTATACTATGTTTTCAAGCTATGGAAGAAAGGCATACCGGTTTTAACATCAAAGTTCGTATTTTGGATTGTTTAAAAGAATTTCACTTGAATAATAAAGTTTTTTCTTTGTCTCTTGATAATGCAACTGCAAACACAAAGTGTATTGACTATTTGAAAAATGACTCCGAGTTGAATTTGTTGTTGGGTGGTAGTCTCTTGCATGTTAGATGTTGTGCTCATATTTTGAATTTGTCTGTTCAAGAGGGTCTCGCTGAGTTGCAACCATTGCTAAACCCAATTAGAACAGTTATAAAATGGATTAGGATTACTCAGTCAGTTAGAAGAAAGTACATAGCTATGTGTAAAGAGAGAGGTCTTAAGAAAAGACAATGGTCTATTGATACCCCTACACGTTGGAATTCTACTTTCAAGTTGTTGAGTGATGCTATAAAGTATCGTGATATTTTGACCCAACTTTACAATGAGACTCGTGTTGATCCTACTGAGTTAATAACCGAAAGTCATTGGACTAATGCTTCTTTTGTTCGTGATGTTTTAAATGCTTTTGATAGTGCAACTCATATTTTCTCTTATATTTATGAGCCTAACGTTCATTTAGTCATAATTGAGTGTGTTAAAGTTGTTCACACCATCGAAGAGCATATGAAGATTGATGGACTTCGTCCCGTTCTTGATAGCATGAAACGTAAGTGGCATACTTATTTTAGTGAATTTCCAATCATTTATGGAATTGCTGCTATTCTTGACCCCGGTGTCAAAGCTGAAGGTTTGGAAAATCTTTTAGAATTTTATTATACAAGTTTAAGTATCGATTATGATGTTAGTGAATATATTAACAAATGCAAATCTGTTTTGGGAGACCTTTATGATCATTATGCATCTATTTATGGTTTTGATTTGGCAACACCAACTACTACTAGCACTTCCGATTCTAGATTTGGTTTTCTTGATAAAGTTATGAAAAAAAAACACAAAGCATCTACATCATTCTCATCATCATCTTCTTCAACACTTGCTATTAATGATTATTTGTCATATCAACATGAGACCAACAACAACTTTCAAATTATAAAATGGTGGCAAGAACATAAAAAAAGTTTTCCTATATTGGCGAGAATTGCAAAAGATATACTTGCAGTTCCCGCTTCATCTGTTGCTTCCGAGTCTGCTTTTAGTGCAGGTAGAAGAGTGTTAGATGAAAAAAGATCTCGCTTAACTCCGGAAAGCATTCAAATTTGTGTTTGTAAGAAAGATTGGGATCAAGCTGAAAGAAGAACTCAAGGTTTAAAGGAAGACGAAGACGATGAAGATGATCCTGTGATGATATTGGAGTCGTCAACGGATGATGCAGCTTCCGGGGATGATGATGCAACAAACATGGGTGGCTAGAAAAGTCTAAATCAGGTACGCTAAGAACTACGTGGGCTTTGATTCTTTCGGGATACGTAGGCAACTTATTTTTCGAAAATTACAATTTAATTGCAAAATTAAATTTTAGTTTTCTAAAGATAGGTCCAAGCCCCCCCCCCCAAATTTCAAAAGAAGTACAATATAAGAACTACGCTGGCTTTGATTCCTTATTTTATAATATAAGGATACGTAGGCATCTTAATTAAGAGCAAGCCATCAAATTGTTAATTTTGTAAAAATTAAAACACCACACAACCCACCCGACCCTAACCCACGAACCCACCCGACCCTAACCCACAAACCCACCCGACCCTAACCCACCTAACCCACAAACCCACCCGACCCTAACCCACTAACCCACCCGACCCTAACCCACTAACCCACCCGACCCTAACCCACCTAACCCACAAACCCACCCGACCCTAACCCACTAACCCACCCTTCGACCCACCCTAACTCACTAACCCACCTTGACCCGTCTGACCCACGAACCTAGCTCGACCCACCCATGACCCGTCTAACCCACAAACCCAGCTCGACCCACCCACGATCCGTCTAACCCACAAGCCCAGCTCGACCCACCCACGACTCGTCTAACCCACGAACCTAACCCTGGTGTGTCCAACTTCTCTGACCCAACCCACGACCCGGCCCACCCTACCCTACGTGTGTCGTGCCGTGTGTCATGAAACCCCAACCCGCGACCCACCTAACCCTAACCCAGCTCGCACGACTCGCACGGTGGACACCTCTATTACTATACTTTAGAGAGTCTCACCATTAGGAAATTTGACTTCACATGAATTGCTAAATTGAAAAGTGGGTTGGATATCATCATTAAAAGTAAAACACAACTCATTTTGTATTTCAATACTTAAAATTGAGTCTCACCAATGGAAATGGTCTATGAATAAGAACATAATTTTTTGCAAAGATCTTAATACCTTCCACGAGGTACGCTTTGCATTTTTGCATCTTTTGGTCTTTAAAGAGAAAGGAAAAGTAAAGAAGTCAACATTTACCGGAATCGAACCGGGTTCCTTGAAGTATAGGCTAAATGGTTGGAA